AGTAGTAGTAGTAGTTAGTAGTAGTCAGTAGTAGTTAGTAATAGTAGTAGTAGTAGTAGTAGTAGTAGTAGTAGTAGTAGTAGTAGTAGTAGTAGTAGTAGTAGTAGTAGTAGTAGTAGTAGAATAGTAGTAGTAGTAGTAGTAGTAGTAGTAGTAGTAGTAGTAGTAGTAGTAGTAGTAGTAGTAGTAGTAGTAGTAGTCGTTCGTCGTCGTCGTCGTCGTCGCGTGGTGGTGGTGGTGGTGGTGGTGGTTTTAGTCGTATAGTAGTAGTAGTAGTAGTAGCCGTAGTAGTAGTAGTAGTAGTAGTAGTAGTAGTAGTAGTAGTAGTAGTAGTAGAAGTAGTAGTAGAAGTAGTAGTTAGTGGTAGTAGTAGTAGTAGTAGTAGTAGTAGTAGTAGTAGTAGTAGTAGTAGTAGTAGTAGTAGTAGTAGTAGTAGTAGTAGTAGTAGTAGTAGTAGTAGTAGTAGTAGTAGTAGTAGTAGTAGTAGTAGTAGTAGTAGTAGTAGTAGTAGTAGTAGTAGTAGTAGTAGTAGTAGTAGTAGTAGTAGTAGTAGTAGTAGTAGTAGTAGTAGTAGTAGTAGTAGTAGTAGTAGTAGTAGTAGTAGTAGTAGTAGTAGTAGTAGTAGTAGTAGTAGTAGTAGTAGTAGTAGTAGTAGTAGTAATAGTAGTAGTAGTAGTAGTAGTACCCCTCCGAGGCTCTGGGGAGCCTGCGGGTGGGGGGGGTATTGCTGGTGCTACTACCCTCAAGCCGGCGGTGGCAGGCACCTTCTTTCCACGTTGTCCACTTGCTACATACACCTTTTCTCGCCCCTGAAGAGGGGTCCAGGGTCATGGCGGCGGCCGCCGGCGGCGCCCCGGACGCAGGAGCAGATGAGCGTGTGGCTGGGAGTAATTCCGTGGCAACGCCGGAGTGGGCACGTGCCGCTGCCGCTGCGGCCAGCGTCGAGAGCGCCGGGGTAGCCCCGCGTGCTCTCGACGCTGGCGCCGCTTAGGCCGACGCCGCGGGGGGCGCGGCGGCCGACGTGCCCGCGCGCGACGCCGAGGGCCAGCCCGCGCGGTGGCGCCGCCGCGCAACGTGAGGCAGAACCACGCGCTGGTGCGTCAGTATCCAGCCCGCCCGCGGCAAGCAGGCCCACTGCTCGCGCTGCGTGGCGGGGTTCGACGCAGGGGAATGGCGAGTCGCGGCAGCTGTCGCCCGCCCCGTGGGCTCGACGTCCCACGCGGGTAACAAATGGCTCCACCCGGCATGTGTGCGCGGGCCGCTGCCCCCAGCTTCGGGCATTGAGGGGTATGCGCAGCTCGCGGGGGGCGAGCGCGAGAACCTCGGAGCCGCCCTGGAGTGGCGGATCAGGCCCTGCAGGTGGGCGCGGCGGGAGGGGGGTCCAGGGGGGCCCTGGGGCTCCCTCCCGCCCTCGCCCTAGCGGTGGCCCCGCGCGCGTGCGGCCCGAGGCGGCCTGGTGATCCGCTGCGGGTCGCCGAAGCTGACCCGTCGCCCCCCGCGTTTATCCTGCAACCCACCCTGGGGGCGCCCCCCAGGTGGGCCTGATGGCGAGGGGGATGACGGGCAACGCGATGATTATCTCGATGGGAACTTGAGCGCGAACGGTGCTTATCGCGAGATCGGGTTCGCGAGCCTGGAATGGTAGGGCGCCGTGGGCTGGGGGCCTGCTCCAGGGGGCCCCCGCGACGGCCATGGTCCCTGACGGCAGGGTCGCAGCAGTCAGCCGCGTCAAGGTGAAGGTGTGCTTAGCCCTGGGACAGGCTCGCGCAAGCTGGGATGGCATGCCGCCAGCCACACCAGAGCGCGGCGCTGCCCGGTTGTCCATGGAAGACCCGGCGCGTCAGGGCCCCGCGGCAGGCCGCGGTCGAGAGGGCAAACTGGAAGCCCGAGTGCGCCGAGTCGCAGGGCTTGCGCGGGCGGGATAAATGTCCCGAGCTGCGGCGGCAGTCTGGCCGCAGGGCGACGTGGCAGACGCGGCGGCGGTGGTCCGCAAGTTTCGCGCCGCGCAGATGCCTAACCCGCCCCGGCCTGCCGCCAGGGGCCCCCGCTGGGTGCCGGGGCAGCCCCGCGCAGGCTTGGTAGCAGGGGCCTCCCAGGGCGGGGCGTGGCCATGGCCCGAGGGCGACGAGGTCCGCCTCGAGCTTGGGGGGCGGCCGGGGGCTGCCGAGCTGCGCCGCCGCGTGGCCAAGCAATGGAAGAGCCAGTTTGGGCGCTATTCAAGGCGGGGCGGCGCGGGGCCAGGGGGCGGGCGCTGCGAGCACTGGGCTCCCCTTGTAAGACGGATGAGGAGGGAGCTGCAGCAGTGGCCGACGCGCTTGCTCGGCTCGCCCCTGGCGACCTCGCCCGAGGGGCTCTCGCAGCTCTCGTCGCCGTCAGTCTGGCGGGCATCCCGAATGCCGCTCATGGAGACGTGCGCGCCCTGGGCCGTGGGAATGTCACCGGGCGAATGGTGGGGCGCAGTGCGGCCTAGATCTTCCATGCGGACATGCGTGCAGCAGTGGGGGATCAGCAGTTCGGCCTCGCCGAGGACGGGTGCGGCGCGCTGCGCCGTCGCCTGCGCGCGATGGCCAACGTCCAACCTGGCCGCTGGGTCGTGGCGGTGCTTCTGGGGGATACCTTCGGCAACGTCCCCAGGGAACTGGTCGAGGAGTCGATCGGCGCCAAAGTCCCAGGCCTTCGCCCCCTGGCTGAGGCTCGGCTACAAGATTGCACCAACCGCGTGGCGGGAGGCGGGGCGCAACCAGCCCAGTTGGTCGTCCAGATCCGTGGGCGTGACCAGGGGCCCATGGCTTCTACGCGGTTGGCGTTGCGGGCGACCTGGGCCTGGGTAGGGCCTCGGTGCGGACCGTCGATCCGCAGGGGGACTGCCTGGCATATCTGGGCGGCGCGTTCTTCGCTGGCTCGGCGGACGCGGTTTTCCACGGCCTGGAGGCCTGGAAGGCGCGCGTCAAGACCCATGGCATGAAGCTGAAGATGTCTAAGACTCAAATCTGACCCCTGGATCCCCAAGCGGTGCTGCCGCCCCAGTGCGCCCGCTATGGTCAGTGCCGCGTGGACAAGCTCAAGGCGGTGGGCGCGACGCTGGCCTATGCTGACCATGACGTGGGCGCAGACTGGCGGGGCGCCCCCCTCGCGGACTCCGCGACGCCGGAGGGCCTCGCCGAGGAGACGGCGGCCGTCGGTGCCGGGGCAGCCCCAGGGGCCGACGTGCCGCTGTCGCGCGGCCGGGCGTTCCTAGCCAAGTGGGGCCGCCACTTTCGCGAACTGCTCATGCTCCACAAGCGTGGCCTGTCCGCCGTCGACGCCTTCCAGCCGGGGCGGATCTGGTCTCGCGGGGCCTGCGTCCACATTCGGCGCGCACTGCCGCTCGCAGAGGCTTGGGCCAACCGGGTGGATGACGGCGTGGTCGCCTTCTCTGTGGGCTGCGCGGCGTAACTGCGGTCCCGCGGGCCCAGGTCTTCATGGAGGTCAGCGAAGGCGGGTTCGGCTTTGGGGGCGCGGCGGCACGTGGGCCCGCGGCCCCCCCCGCCTCCTGGGAGTCAGGCATCCGCGCAGCAGCGGCAGACCAGCAGGTGCAGGAAACGACGGCGGTAGGCGACGCTGGTCAGGCTTGGGGCGAGCTCTCTCGGCGGCCGAGGCCACGCATGCTCGCCAGACTGGAGGGCATGCGCCCTGGGCGGACCAGTGGGGGGGGGTCTTGGAGGGCTGGGCTGGCGCGGGCCAAAAGACGTGCACTGGAAGGGTGCGTGGTCGCATCGCCAAGAACCGCCTGGCCGCCCTGTCCTCGGCGGCGACGGCGCTGCATGGTGCTGCTGGGCCCTCTGCGGGTGCATGGGTGCAAAATTTAAAGGGGGTCTCGCCCCTTGCCAACCGCGCGTCCTGCGTCGCGGCCAAGCGGCGCATGCGCCTGCCCGTGCTGCCGGCGATGGGCACGTGCCAGAATGGGCGGGCAGCGCCTGCCCGTGCGCTGACGCAGGCGGGTCCCGTCTGCGGGCATGATGTGGATGTCCACTGTGCGCGCGCATTGAGCTGCCCCAGGGTCGGCGGCCCAGTGCTGCGCCACAGTGCCGTGCGCGACGCCGTGGCGCTCTGGCTGCGCGAGATGGGCCGCCAGGCGCAGGCGGGGCAGGTAATTCAAGAATGGCGCGCGGAGGCGGACGGCGCTGCGACGCTGGGCGTCGTGTGCCGTCGCGGCCTGCGCGGGCGTGTGTGCCTCGACATCAGCCTGGTGGGCTCCGTGGCGGTCGCGCAGCTCGGCAGGCCCCGTGAGGTGGCCCTGCAGCGCAGGGAAAAGGTGAGGCGTCGCAGATACCCATTCAAGGGACTCGTGCCTTACGTCCTGGACATCAATGGCACGCGGGGCGCCGAGGCCGAGACCTGGCTGAGGCGTTTGATCGGTGAGCTTCCTGAGGGGGAGCGCCACGCCGCCAGATGTTCTCTCCGCTCCTGAGTCATGTGCACTATAGCGCCCGGTTCTCCGGTTTCTCTGGGTTCTCCGGGTTCTCTGGGTTCTCCGGGTTCTCCAGGTTCTCCAGGTTTTCCTTCCAGGGGTTCCCCAGCGGTTTTCTGGGGGTTCTCTGGGGTTCTCCGGGGTTCTCCGGGTTCTCCGAGTTCTCCGGGTTCTTTGGGTTCTCCGGGTGCTTTGGGTTCTCCGGGTTCTCCGGGTTTTCCGGGTTCTCCGGGTTCTCCGGGTTCTCCGGGTTCTCCGGGTTCTCTGGGTTCTCTGGGTTCTCGGGTTGCTTTATTCCCAACCATCCTGTGGTGTTGGGTCCTCGTTTTGAAGAGACGGTGCCCCGCGTTCTCCTTCCTTCCTTCCTCCCGCTCCTCCTTGCTGCCGCCCGCATGCGTCACGCGCGCCCAATTCGGCACAC